AGCGTTCTCCTTTGCGGCGGGAAACGCTGCCTCTGCCGTGCCCGCGGGAGCTGAGAGGGATGAAGCTGTCTGCGGAGGCGCAGGCAGTTCAGGGGACTGACTCAGCCCTTGTTTTTTCCCTCAGCTCTCCCAGCTCCGTTCTCCTCTCAGCCCCACTGCAGAGCTTACCCCACCCGCCCTCCGGGAAGATGGCGAAAGCAGGGCTGCGTGACTGACTTTACCTCACTGAACCCCTGACACTGAGGCAAGGGGAGGCTGACCTTACCACAGGCTTCTCACACAGCACCCTAACAGGCACACACACCCCTGCTGTTTTCCTAGCCCCCATTCCACACCCTGTGGGACAGGGACACTAGCATGGTTTTCAGGACAGCCCCTCAGCTGTCCAACGACAGCCTGACCTTTTTTTATTACAAGCAACAAGGTTTAGCTTTAGCTACCTTATGTTCTGACTGCATAAGCAGAATTCACAGAGATTTACAGGTCCTTCTGATGCAGCCTTGTCCTGCGTCTTGCCCCTGTCTCTGTGGAGTTCCTGGAACATAATGAAGATGGAGTGGGGCATGGGTTGGTAATTCATCCACACTAGGTACATACAGACCTAGAGCATTGTTAAGAACCGCTTACTCAGACAGTGTCTTCATCTGGGACACAGGCATGGCATGCCACTTCCCATCCTCTGGCTTGCTACACATAAAATACATCTTTTGGGTTCCTTCTTTCATCATTTTTGTTTGAATTTGTTTGGTTTGGGGTTTGGTTTTTGCAGAAAACACCCCCAAAATCCCAGCACTTCACTCAGTGTTGCTGTAGACTTCTATAAGATGGGGTATTTTGGTATTAGCCCGTGTATTTCACATTTTGAGGCATGGGGATACTAATTCTATGAACTCATTGCTCCTGAAGACAGAATTAAATGGGAGGCAGGATATGAAAAACATCACGTCAGAGTTTACACTATCAACTTGTGAGGTAAGTGCAGGTTTGCCAGCTGTTAGAGATTGCAGAGAATAATGGGAGCATAATAAACATACTTTGGGATGCTGCCACAAGTTGACTTTAATAGCTCTAAAAAAAACCAACTCCACTTCTCATGGAAAAAAAACAACCAACCTATACCCCTTTTTAGTTTGTTTTTCACCAAGTAGGTTAATAACATGCTTTGAACAAAGTACCTGTGTGCTGGCCTGGAATGAAGCAGGCGAACACTTCTCTCAAGCACTTTACAACAGCAAAAACAGTTTTAGACTAAGTGCAAGTCTCATATCCTGAAAAATCTGTGATACAAGGGTCTGACAGAGAAACATTTTCCAGATGTTTCTCAACAAAATTTAAATCAAAAGTTTTCAGAAAGACTTTAAAGCTTCCTTTTAGAAAGAGGGCTGAAGACTCTGGGTCTTAAGAGTTGATTAAACTTTGTCAGCTTTCCCTAGCGTTTTACATACTTTTTGGAGTATTTGGTCTTCCTTTTCTGGGGAAGCTTCAAGTTCAGAGCTTCAACTGAATTCTACATGCAGCAGAGGATCCTGCTGACAGGGTAAATCCATAATGGATGAGAGCACAGTAGAGCTGGATACTTCAAACTGCAAAGTGGGTATGAACGACTACAAGAAAGGACACAGTAACTCTTATAGATCAGATATGATTCATACTCAAAATTTTATGTTAAGTGTATTTACCAGCTGCACTCTGTCCAATGATGCTGAAATACTTCATTAAAACAAAGAAATCTTTAGAGATTCAAAAAAAAAAAATCAGTATTCTATCTTGTCAAAGTCTCCTGCTTTCTAGAAAGCCAAAATACATTTAAGCAGAACAGGGAGGAGGGGGGATGACACACAACAGAATAATTTGCTTTATAAACATATGAAGTCAGTCTAAAAAGTCTGTTACATGTAACACACACCTTCCACTCCAGTTCACATAGAATTTGACAGCTAAATACCACACTCAGATTTCTTGGGAGACTTTTCAAGTTTGTAACACAATTTATACTTAAAAATACTTTATTTCCATTATAGTCTTCAGATCATGAGGCATGCTTAAGATTTTAGCATTGCAGACCCAGGACCCTTAAAGATACTCAACTATCTTCAGTAATCTATCTGATAGTTCATCACAGCTTCTTTAGATAACCTGAGGGTTACACCAAACACTTCCAGTTTTTCATCACATCATACCACAGTTCTCTCTGGTGGGTGTTCTGACAGATGAGCAGGCAGAGAGAGACACAGGAGCAGTATTAAAGGGCCCAACTAATAATTTAGTAAACAAGATAGCGTCCTCTGGAAAAAAATGAGGACATTAATGGCATCAACCCACCAGTATAAACATCAATCAGAACTGTGGAGAGCATTAATTTTGACATTTTCTAACTCTTGAATACTTATATGCATTTAGTTTTCATGGTGAACTGATGACAGGAGAGGAATGAAGATGAATCCCAAAATGTGGAAGTGTAAAGACAGAATTCTTGACCATAAGATGCTTCACTCCTATATAACTCACACTCACCAATCCATTTCACTCATGGCTCCCTGTGCAGTTCCCTCTTCCTGTCAGGATGCTTTCTTCTCCACAGTGCCTGTGCCTTAGAGGAGTCAAAGCACACAGGAGCTTACCTCTGCTCTCAAGGGCAGCACAGTCAGGAGAAAGTCCCGCTCCACCTGGACTCCGAAAACTCAGCACAGAACACCAGCAGAACTTGACTGTTAAGACTAATGAATCTAATGATATATGCCATAGTTCTTGAAAACACTGTCATTTTCATGACTTCAGGAAGTTTTGTTATCCTCACAGCCTCTTAGGCCAAAGGAGTGTAATTTTTTTGCTAATAATTCAGGGCAAACTAGAACAGTAAAAAGAAAACTTCCAAGGGGATCTACGTTCTGGCAACTCCTGTTCTCCCTCAGCTGAAGTTTATGAAGGTACTTCGGAAGATTCCAAACCCAGTTGTAAGAATTCAGCAATTTACACACTACTGAAAGGAAGTGACAGATGAAAACTTAGGCTAACGATAATGGTAGGCGTTATTGTTTCAAGCAACTTATAAACATCAACCACCTTATATGGAAATACAACACAGCCTTAATTAGTAAGAATTGAGACAATGATGATGTCCAAATGTAGGAAGCTGTTCATCCTAACCACTTGCATTTTAATTTTAAGATGTAGTTCTCAAGTTTTAAGAAACAGCACACAAGTGAGTTTTTAAGAACAGAGATGCACTCTTCCATGGTCCCCATAAAACTGTCATGCTTCAAATTAAGAGACACTGTTCCCTATCAAAACTGTAATTAAAAGCCAATACTGGACAATATGCTTTTTTTTGTTTATGAACATGAAGTTTTTCTGTGGCATGAATATCATCAGAAACAAAAATCTTCACTCTTCTATTGCTGTTTTGTTATCATGGGAATTCTATATTCAAATTTAGTTCATGGAGTTATTGCATCTGCTACTTTATGTTAAAAGTTCAATATAAAACAAGACAAAAGGAATAAAATCAAATCATTTGGTCTTGCAAGTCAGACATCCTCTCACTTTGACTTGAGTTATAGTTTAAGAGTTCTTTTCTTGTTATACAAGCTTGGTCAACTGGTGTAGCAGTAGAGCTGAAGATACATAGTATACACTAATAACCAAGAACTAAAGCAAAATCAACGGATTATACATGAGCTTTAAATTCTTTGACAAAGTACTTTGTTGGAAAAGTCTGCTTCTGACTTAGATGTTTAATCCGCATACATCTTCTTCCCTGTGAGAGGTACATACAGTCTCCTCAGCTTAAGAAAGTAACATGAATAAGATCAAGTAACATTAAAAGCACGAGTAGTCCAGTCCACCACAGTTCTCACCACCTTCCCATAAAAAGGTACAGAGAGAACTTACTTATATATCATATGAATTATTATTCTGTTTTATCTTCATCCTCTGCAGCATAGATAGCTTGATTCCTTCTCTTAATTTTTTTAATGCCACTGTTTCCATTTTCGTTACCACCAATGCGCTTTAATGGTCTCTCACTTAAACTCTTCTCCTCCACCTGCTTACTCACACCAGATTTCTCCAGTTCCTCGTTAGTAGAATCCATAGCATCATCAGACGATACCGCCATGGAATCTGGCATGATCCGGATGTCAGAAAAACTTGCAGAAAAATCAGGAGGATGATCAGGGGAAGGATCTACAGAACACGTACTCAAGTCTTCATCGCCACCTTCTTCATCCAGCATTATTTCATCTGGATTAATGGATGAAAGTCCAGAATTATCTGTATTATACTCACTGGGTTCCTCTGCTGACCCAGTACTGTCCATCTCCTCTTCCTCCTCCTCCTCTTCATATTCGCCTCGTACTGAGCCCTCTTCTTTAGCTTGCTGGATCCTGTCATTGATGTCAGTGAGGCCAAACTGGGCACAAAACTCAGTGGTCTGTGGATTGATGCTATGAACTGGTTCCATGTGTTTTTGGGGCTTGCTGGGATCATAACAAGCAGCTGTCAGTGTGAAGTTACAAGGAATTTTGAGGTTATGATTCAGCTCTTCTAACACCTCTTTGATGGCTTCTTCTGTCACACTGTAATCCCACCTAAATAAGTGTATAAAGTTAAAACAAGTGCAGCTAGTCAAAAGGTATTTCCTGTTCCCACTGCAAAGAGAAACTTTTAAAGATGGTCAATAAATTCATCTTACAACAGACACCTAATTTCTCAAATGATTTTTCAGGAAAGTATGTTGCCTTTGGTCAATACTGAGATTCCCCTCTCCCCACCAAGGATTTCTGTATTATGTCAATCCATTCAATAAGCATGCACCCACCCATGCCCATAATCCAGCCTGATTTTCAGTCTCACAATCTAACTAGCAAGATTATCAGCCACCATGTATTTTTTGCCCCTCAAATGGTGGTATTTAAGTCTGCAAAACAAAATTAACTGCCTGTGTAGAGCAGTAAAGAAGTTGTATGCTCTAGAGTACAGCTCTTGTCACCAGCTCTTTGTTTTCCAAGGCATTTAGCAAGTCCTACAGGCATTATAGGCTGCAGAACAGAAAAACACAACTCTAAGACAAGATTACTTCCAGTCCAGCAAAATCACACTTTCCTCTCTACTTTGCAGGCAACTCACTTTGCATGGAGGCCGTTCTTTTCAGGCATATTCCATGAGCTCTGAGTCACATTAATGAGACTGTTGGTGGCCTTGAGGACTGCAATCCACTCAGCATCATATTCCAGCGAGTCACCTGCACTAGGATCATGCTCTATGTCTATTATCTGTTTAAAAAAAAAAACAAAAACAAAAAACAAACAGAAAACAGATGAGGTGAGTTATTCTCTTGACACCAGTAACTGATTAAAAGTTTGAAGTGTTACTTGCATGGTACAGAGTTTTAATTAAGTTTCAAGTATACTGAGCTAGTGGTCTTAAACAAGTCCTCTCAAGTTAGCCCTACATAAAAGTTTACAGCAATAAGAGAGTAAGAAAGGA